AGTGGCAAGTCTTTGGCCCTTTGGAATACGGATCTGCCCATCAGTCAGTAGGATATCAAAGATTTCATCAGCTTTCGAACTATCAAAGGTCGGTTGCTCCTTTCCTTCAGATCCTGGTACTGGCTTCAATTTAGGACATACATACGGTTTTCCAGAAATGATTTCGGCTGCCATCTCTTCTGACTGATTAAAATCAAAGTCGCATGTTTCTGTTCCCATACTCGCCATATGTTGGCCTCTATTACGCCTGTTATGCTGATCTTCCTCTCTGAACAAAGACTCTAGACGTCCTGCCTTGGATGCAAGACTTGCCAAATCCTCAACATCCAGGGCAGTGAGTGCCTTTCTTAAACGATTATGCATATTCCGGACCACTAAATTGGTCATCTCTTTCTCACTGATTACCGTAGGACATCGTCCCTTCATCAATCGTACCCTTTCTATAAACTGTGAAGCAGTTTCTTCTGGATACTGTCTCAATTCAAGTAAATCAGTTAAAGACACAACTGGTAAAGGATTGAAGAATCTAGCGTGAAATGCCATCTCCAGTCCTTCCCATGTCTGAATTTGTCCAGGAGGTAGACTTACAAACCATGAAAACGCCGTTCTGGTAAGAGACAAACCAAACAACTGTAATTTATAAAAAGGGTTATTGCCAACTTCTCCTAATTGTGCTGTGAACCGACCAACATGTTCTATGGTGGAAGATCCGTCCTCCCCTGAGAATGCATGAAAGTCGGGTGGTCGAAAATTCCTTGGGAGAGGGTGTTCATGAATGATCCTTTCTGGGAAAGGTCTTTGATATGCAGGGCGGTTAGCCATCTGAGGAGTTAATCCATACTGATCCCTTAATATATATGCAATCTCATCAGGATCTACATGAAAGCGTTGATGATCAGGAACCTGGAACGGATCCTGCACAGGAATATGAATCGGATCATGTATATATCCTTCAGGCCTGTCCTCCCTTGTATTGTTCGGCTGCGAATTGGTAACCCTTGGTCCCAGTGGAACATTGTTGGGAAAAGTCAAAGGAGTTTTTCCCCGATCCATTCGGTTGGGATTTGTGGCACTTGGGAATGTACTATCCACGAATGATGGCCCTGCGAAATTTGCCTGTGGTCTGGACGGTGACACTCCTGGTGGCGTTTGAGTGGATTGAAGACTAACCCTTGACAATGCTTGATCTATCATGTTCTGCAACTGACTCTGTTGCTCACGCAACATGTTCGTTTGTTGCTCACGCAACATATTCTGCATAACTAAGGTATGCTGGTTGTTCATTTGTTGAACATAAGACCACCAATCAGTTGGTGGTTGTGGGATGTCCCCGGCATTTGGCACAATGGGTGGTGGAACGGATTCTCCCACCGGTGTCGAAGATGCTTGCGGTTGTGACCCTGCCATAACCCTTCCGATGATTCGGCCGGATCTAAGACGTATGAAATTATCGCCGGAATTGGGATGAGCAATTTTGTCTTGCTCCCACTGTGGTCGCCAATTTGTTGATGTAATTTTTCAACAAAAATAAAGTAAAATTCAAAGATATAGAAAATATCCTTAAACTTGATTAATTAGTGCCTGAGATTAGGAATCTCTAAACACTGTACGGTATATAAAATAAACTGGAAAATAAAAGACTGAAATTTAAAGTGGTGATCCCCAAATCTGACTTTGCTTTGTTGAAGTTGATTGAAGATGCCTCGCCAAACGATGATTCAAATCCTTAAATATTCCCTGGGAAACCGTACTGAAAACCGTCACCCGAACGGTTACAACGTCTCCTTCTCAACCGTCTTCCAACCTTTCTCATGCTGACACGTGTCCCCAGCAGACCAAAATTCCCTATATTTCGCTCCTTGAGCCGACCACAAACCATCCGCTCTTTTGGCCCGACTTCGTCCTTCGTCCGACCTACTTCTTCGCCCGACCCCACTTGGGCCGACCTCCATATCAACCGCCCCCTGTCTTTGATCAAAGGCCTCCGCGTTTGTCCAACTCCGCCTTCTATCCGATCTACAGTTTACCCGACCTGCGGATATCCTATCTCGACAACTTTTCCGTCTCGAAGACCTCCCGACTTGAAAACCTTCCGATTCATCGTCTTTCCGTCTTGCGGACCTCCCGACCTGAAGACCCTCCGACTTGAGGTCTCTCCGTCTTGCGGACCTCCCGACCGGAAGACCTTCCGACTTGAGGTCTTTCCGTCTTGCGGATCTCCCGACCTGAAGACCGTCCGACTTGAGGTCTTTCATCTTGAGGGCCTCCCGACCTGGAGACCTTCCGACTTGAGGTCTTTCCGTCTTGCGGACCTCCTGACCTGAAGACCTTCCGACTTGAGGTCTTTCCGTCTTGCGGACCTCCCGACCCGAAGACCTTCCGACTTGAGGTCTCTCCGTCTTGCGGACCTCCCGACCGGAGGACCTTCCGACTTGAGGTCTTTCCGTCTTGCGGATCTCCCGACCTGAGAACCTTCCGTCCTGAGGACCTACCGACCTAAAAACCTTCCGTCCTGAGATCTTTCCGTCCTGAGGACCTACCGACCTGAGGTCCTTCCGTCCTGAATTTTCCTTAGAAATAAAGAAATAAATTTATTTTCCTTGATTTCCTCACGGTGTCCTTCAGCCAGTTCAATCAACCCTATTGCCAGGCCCATTCCTCGTTTTACCTTAGGCTTTTAACCTAATTCTAAATTTCGTGCGTAACAATTATAAAAAAAATTCAACGGAAAAAAAATATATTGATATTTGTGAAAGTATAAAAATTTGACTACAAAAATGACTGAAATTTATTAACAATTTATTAATCAAATTTACAATTTCGATTTTAAACAAAAAATAAATAAATAAAAATTTTTAAGTGTCGTTGACATTTCAGCCACGTCAACGCCATGTCAGCAACAGTGAGACATGGTGGCAAATCCAACACTGGATGAGTATTTCAGTGAAAATAATCTATTTGCGAGTTTTGAGACATAGTCTATTTAGGAGCTGTTTGTTTTAAGGATTTGGTAGGATTTTATGGGATTTGGACATGAAATCCATCTTTGGTTCAAAAAAATATAATAGAATTTAAAATGATAGAATTTAAAAACATGGTCCAAAATCCTACAAACGAGGAATTTATTAGTAATGGGTACCCCTGTTACTTTTAAATCCCATTCCATGGGATTTTAAATTTTACTTTTATATCCTTATATAAAAAAATATATTATATATTATAAATATATTTATATAAAATTAAATATAATAATTACAAAATTAATTTTTATTTGAATTATATATTAAATTAAATTAATATTATTTTTTATGGTACAATATTTTTTAAATAAATTAATGAATTCATTGTTTTAAATTGTTATTTATTATAAATTTTATTTAAATTATAAAATTATCAGGATGACAATAAGTCGGATTCAGCCGGAACTGAGATCCGTCCCGAATATATATATTGGTAAACTTTAGATCCAAATTGGATCTGATTATACCAGATTCAGCCGAAACTATACCCGGTAAAATCCGATGGATCTAACAAATCTAATTTTTTTTACGATTATTAAATTTTAATTTAAAATTACACATGTACCGATCCGATATATATATATTATTTATGTATTTTATGAAAAAAATATTATAATAAAATAATAAATAAATTAAACTTAAAAAAATATTTTTAATATAATTATATTGTTAGAAATTATTTTTTCATATGTATAGTCGATATATTATTAATATTATAAATCGAGTCTAGGTGCGGGTATGGTCCGCTTAGACCCTAGACCCGATTCGGACCCGATTAGAATACCCATAATATGACGCGAATCAAGATCTAATACTCAAATAATTGGACTCAACTTCCAATAAATAGGTCGGGTTCGAGTCGGGTTTCGAGTTTACGATAACCTATTGTAATTCCTATAAAATTATTAATACATTTTCAATTCATATATATTATAAATTAGATGTTTAATTTATCAAAATAAATACTCTCCCGTCCCAGATACCGTGTCTGCTACACTGTAGACACGGTATTTTAAGAGGGGTGTAATTAGTAGATAATTAAGAATATATTAGTGAAAATAATTATCATATAATATAAATAATTATAAATTAAGATTAAGACATTTAATTAAAATTTAAAAAAAAATAAAGTTAAAAAATTTAAAATGAGATTAAAGTGTGTAATCATTTTCCAAAAAAGGAAAGTGACATAGTATGTGGGATGGACAGAAACGGCAACGTGGACATCGTATCTGGGACGGAGAGAGTAAAATTCATAGGGGGACAATTATGTCATTTAGAATATAAAAAATCAAAATCTTTTCACTCATATAAAAAAACAAACAAGACGTAAGAAATATAAATCCCACGTAATTTTACCAACCAAACATATGATAGGATTCCAAATCATAAATATAATAAATCCCATTACGTATAAATCCTGCTGTGAAATCTCAATCCCACAAAAAAAATTCATGAACCAAACAGCCCCTAGAATACTAAAATGGTAGAATGAAGAGCAGTTTATCCTTAATTTTGTTTTCTTACATGTATTAATATTTTGTATTATAGATATATTTTTAAAACTTGAGTAATAATTATAAGGTTTTGAATATTAGACTAGGAACCGGATCCGAACCAAACCGGATCCCGAACCAAACCGGATCCGACAAGTCTGGATCCGGGCAACATATCTTTAGCTCCATCGGATCTGGTTCTGGATCCGAAAACTGTAATGAGAGATCGGAACTAGACCAGATCCGTTGACAATCTTTATGTTTATAATTTAACTAAAAATTAAAAGTCTTTTAATTTTAATTTATAATTACTTTCGAACTGATAGTTCCTGGCTCTGCGACTCTATGTCACAGCACATTATAACCTAGATTTGAATTCGTCAGTTCAGTGTGCTTGTATATATGGTTAGAATAGAAACAATTACTTAAAATGTTGTACTATAACTGAAGATATATAATTATAACAATAGTAAGTGGTATGGACCGTATTTGGCGATAGATTGAAAAGGAGCTGGAGCGAGTCTGGGCGCAATATCGTGAGAGAAACCAGTCATGGGCTCTGACTGGGCTTCTTTGAGCAACCTGGCCATATCCTTAAGGTCTCCGAAGAGAATCCTGTAAGAGTTTCCCTTCAAACCCTGCTTCCTCAGGCACTTCTCCATCCTTTTAGGCCAAAGCCACAGAGAGTTGAACACTTTCCAACCATAGTAAAAAGCAACAGCAACGGAAAATATTAAGACCATCAACCCCAAAAGCTCCATCTCCAGAAACACAAGCACAATAATCACTCCCAAGAGTTGAATTGTATTTGTGTCTTCCCATCATCCTTCAATACGTGGTTTATCTATATTGTGGAGAGATGGACTTACTTGGCCCCCCACATTCACTTCATAGGGCCCACATTTTATAAAAAATCTTTATTACTATTATTTTTATTTTTTATTTTTTTATAACGTGGGAATCCGAAGCCGCTACTTGTACGGACTGGATAAACCTAAATCTAATACTCTGTAAATTAGGCTTGATAAGACAAGTTACACTCGGCGAACCCGAACCACGTGTGGTAGGTGGATTTGGAGACATCTGGGTTATATATATATATATATATATATATTATTTTATAACGTGGGAACCCGCAGTTACTACCTGAAAGTGCGCACTGGATGAACCCTCGGTCGAACCTAATATTCTGCAAACTAGGTCCGACAGGCAAGTCACACTAGCCGAGCCATATGTGAGGCGTCAGGTAGCATCAGTAGTAGATTTTTTGTATTGATTTTTATTTTTAAATCTAAAGTAGATATTTTGTTTTGTTTTGATATTGAATTATTAAAGAGTTGATAAAAAAATAATGGGTTAAATTAAAAAAATAATGAAAAAATTAATTATTATTTCACTGTAAAAAAATATTATATTTGTAACGGAATTATGTATTTATAGTTCACGTAGCTAACTTAATTTAATCCTTAATTTCGTCTCTAATGTCATTTGTAATGGAAAAAAAATGAGTTTAGGGACGAAAAAAATTGTTACAAAAATAATATTTTCTTATAGAGTTTATTAAAATAAATACTTCCTCCGTCTGCCTTGGTTGGGACATGAGCACGGAACCTGTAGCTTCTCTTTTTCCATTGCCCTCATCGAATCACCATATTGCGTCTATCGAGTAGGTGATTCTGGATTACATTTATCTTTTACGTCATTGTACTTAACATTAAAAATATTTTTATATCTATATAATTTTTTTTACAAATTTCCTTCTATTAGTATTATAAGACCTAATGGAAATATTTCTGTAAATTTTTAAATTTGTACTACGTTTTGATATAATAATTAATATTTAAAGATCAACGGGTAAAAAGTAAATGAAATTCTTGAAGTGTGACGGGAGATAATATAATTAAACAATGAGTAGATAAAATTTTATAATTAATGTATAAATTTAATAGATAAAAATAAAACAAATTAACATAATGACCGGAGAGAGTATATATTTTAACTACACTAAATAATTAAAAAAGATTAATATAATTTGTAAACATTTATTATAAAAATATATTTACATTAGCTATGCCATTTTTAATAATTTTGATAGTTTTAAATCAACTCAACTTTATCACATTCATATATTTCTTTTCTAACATGAAATCAAATTATTTCTATTTACATATTAATCCAATCCAAAGTTGCTTTTAACTTTATTTGGTTTTATATCATCAGTTCATTTTCAATCTCATTAATTTAAAACACTCTTTTTATTTCAACTAATATGATTCTTTTATTCATTTTCGTATATACTAATCAAAAGTATTATTTTTTATTAATTTAAAAATAATTAATATATATTAAAATATTTTTAACTTTTACAAAAGAATTCTTTTTTATATATATATATAATTACAAAGAGACAAATATTAAAATCATATTTACAAAATTCCATTAAATAATAAAATACTATTTTTTTTATTAATTTACTTAAAAAAAAAAAGAAAAAAGCATGCATTAAGTTGAAATAATTTATAAATAATAAATTTCTGATATAATATTTTCAATAATTAATAATTTATTTATATAGTTAATATCTTGAATAAAAAATAAGTTTTAAAATTTATACTAAGATATAAAATATTAAAATTTGAAATATAAATTACAGGTATGATTTTTTATTTTTGTTGTCATTGTAGTAATGTTAATTGGCCGAGTAAAAATAAATTTGAAGCCATAATTAAATAGAGTGTATGTTTTTTTGTATAATATTTTAAATAAAAAATAAATTTGAAATTAAGTATTTTAAATTTTTTTAATAAATAGTATAAAATATAAAAAGAAAAAGGATCGTATACTTTAAATTTAAAATAATATTAATTAAACATATTAGACCTTAATCTGATTCCTTTAATTAAATGGGTTAAATAGATTTGACCTAATTATTAATTTGGTCGAAAATCTCAACCCAAATCCAACTATTTCAGGTCAGGTTCGGATCAGATTATCCGATCTGGTTAATTTTTGCCAGCCCTACATATTATAATTATAAACATAAAATACACATTTTTATTGTACATAGAATATATTATATGTAATAAAAATATATAATATTTGTATATTCTATTTGTACTGCTTTATAAAATCAAACAATTTAAAATCCTTCCATAGCTTCGCGTACATTACAATTTGTGATATCAACGGGGCGGGTCCGGGACGAGTTCTGCAGGCCTCGAGACCCACTCCGCTAGAAAATATTAGGCCCTGAGGCCTGCCCGCCCCGCTTCCACCCGGTCCCAGGATCCGCCCGCCTCCGAATCCGGAGGGTTCGGGGCCAACTCGGCAAATCCGTTTTTTTTTTTAAATATATAATAATAAATATTTTTAACAATAGAATACTAAAACAAATAGCATTAAAAGCACCCAAAATAAATAAATTTAAAAACAATCAAATATTGATCCATAAAAATAAGATAAAAGTATATAAACACACATCGAGAATTCTTTGCAGATAAAGAGATGTCAAAGGGCTCTCTCCCCAGCCTGCTATATATCCTTTTTTCAACCCAGGCTGCTAAAGAGCTGATCAATACAAATATAAGAATTTAAAACATCAAATAGTTAATTCTAACATTCTTCAACATCAAAGTCTTCATCTTCATCTAGCATTGCAGTAGGACAACTTTTTGATCAAATGGTCGATCCACTAGTACTGTTGAGATATTTTAGATATTCAATTTTAGATTTAGTAGATATATATCTAAATTTAATTTTATTCATAGATTAGATTACTTAGATTTGAGTCTATCGAGTCTATTTTGTATTGCCTATATATAGGCTTAATCAATAAGACAATCTCATTATTTTTCTCCAAAATTTCTAACAAGTACCTAATTAAAAAAAATATATATGTATTATTATATTATATTATTCAAGTAAAAAAATTAAAATGTTAAAAAAATATCCGGGTTCGGGTCCGGGTCCGGATTGGGGCGGATTTTTAGTAAAACCAGTAACCCGCCCCGAATCCGGCTGGGTTTAAAATTTCAAATCCACAACTCGCTCCGAAACATATTATTTAGACCCGAACCCGCCCCATTAAGAGCGGGTCCGGGACTAACCCACCCCATTTGACATCCCTAGTTACAATGAATGCCCAATGTAGACCTGTCAAAATGGGTTAGTGGGGCGGATTGGCCCACAACCCACCATAAGCCGCAAAGAACCAGGTTGTTTGTAGCCAACCTGCGGCGGGACGGATCAAACTTTCTTCAACCCACCAATGGGTGGCGAACTAAGCGGGTTAGCCCACGGACTTTTTAAAAATATTAATATTGTAAATATTTTCGTAATTAATATTTAAAAATAGTTAAAATATTATTATTGTAAAATTTAAATAATAAATATTTTAAAATAATAACAAATATAAAAAAATCTCAATTCTAAATATTATTAGTTAGTGTATTTTAAAAAAATTAATTATAAGAAATATTTTACAAATAAATCATAATTAATTTTATGAATCTGTAGATTCTAGAATAAAAAAATATTATAAAATAATAAAATGGACAACAGACAAAAACAAATGATGAAAAATTGAAATAAATAAGAGTGACATTGATAATAGAGCTATAAAATAAAAACAACTTGTAAACAATATTGATTAATTTATTTAAGCTAATTTTATTCGTCTAAAAAAAATATATATTTTTTAATAGATTAAAAATAATAATATGTTATTTATTAAATAAAATGTACAAGATAATTTTGATTTTTTTTTTTCTCTTTGTACGTTATTTATAAATTAATTTATTTATAATGGTATATTTGTAATTTATATAAAATTTAAATATATTCTGATATTAATATTTGATTACTTTTATTATAATTTTTTAATGTGATAGTAAAAAATTATTAAAATAAATTATATTTAGTTGATACAAGTGAGTACTAATTATTATATTTATTTGGTCTGCAAGCTAACTCGCCCCACTGCGGGCTAATCCACTCTCAACCCACGGCCCACATGGATTGGCCCATTTAGACACGTATTTTAATGAACTTATAAAAATCACAATTCAATCATCTTAAAAAGTAAGGCGGGATGGCCAACCCGACGGATTCAAACTCATTTTGACGGCTCCAGCCCAATGCAGACAACGTGAGGCAGGACGTATTTGGTAAAATACTTGGACAAGAATCATTTGAAGTAAAATAAAATTTTGATTGTATATCACTCATTTCGTTTGAGCTAATTATCCAATAATATTTATACACAAAAACTAAAAGATAATAATACTTCAATGTATAAATGAAATAAATAAAAAATAAAATAGAGTATTATAAAAAATTTATTAAATATTTAATAATATAGTGGTGGGTCGAAAAAAAAAAAAAAAAAAAAATCTATCTGTCCAACTCAATTGACAAGTTTTATATTTTTGTCTTACTGTAACAATTAACATCTTTTTATTTTTGGTAAAAGTGATTAAGACGTATTTGACAATTAGCTGATAGTTGTTAGCTGTTAGTTGATTCAATTAGCTGATAGCTGATTCAATTAGCTAGTTTGACTAACTGATTCGATTGGCTGTTTGTATTAAAATATTTGGTAAAACAACTGTTTGATATTAGCTGTTTATACGTAAAATGACAATTGATGACATTTTTATTTTATT